CAGCTCAACATTTACAGATACGTCCTCTAGAGCAGACTTCCTTGGCCAGACCTATAACAAGTTCATTATCACTCTTTTTGTGTTTCCCACCCAAAGAGGATAAAATTTTGACAATAAAAGTCATCACGGTTGATTGAATTTCTCATGCCAGATGTAAGATGAAGGTGGGGTGGGAGCTGAAAGAATCAGGGTAAGGGTTAGGCCAGTCTTTGTTCCAGGTGTGGTCTTGCCAAACTACTGCTAAGAATGTGCCATTCCACGTGTGGTTGCTCCCAGGACTGACATGGAAACTGTGAGAATAATGACCTATCTCCTTGTTTTAAAACGAAGTTGGTGACGATGTTTAAGGCCGAAAAGTACTTTTTTTTTTTGCCCCCAGGAAATTCTTTACATGGCCTCAGTGAACATGCTTAAAACATGTTTTAACATCTGAAGATATGACTTCTTGGATCAGCTGTCAGGTCTCAGCTCTTGTTGTAGTACTAAGTGGAGAATGAATGAGAGCATCAGCTAACGCCAGTGGAGGATCTCACCCTGCAGGGGCAGAGGTGAGTCGATGTGGAGCCCTTCTGCTCTGCTAGCTAGGGCAGGCAGCCTGCTGTTCTCCAGTGGCTGTCTCGGGTTGTGATCTGAGGTGTACTGGATTTGAGTATGGGCAGGGGAACAGACATCAGTAGCTCAATGTGCAAATGGCCACACATGACTGCAAAGGTGAAACTTTCCTCCTGAACTGTCTGAGTCAATAGGCAGTTATGAATTTCACGATTTAATCCTAAGCATGCAAGAGATTAGCATTCAGACATGGCTGTACTGCAACCAGACAAAAGGTGTCCTACGTGGAAACCAGACAGTTGTGCAATCATAAATTCCACCACTTAATAAAAAAGAAAACAAACCCACAATAAACACCCTTACCCTCCCAATGTGTTTCAATGACTTGTGTGTGGTATCTAGGCGGTCTATACCATAAAGCTACCTGTGCCCTCTGACAAAGATATTTTACATATAGACTATCAACTTGTTTTTCCAGACCAAAAGAAGAGGAATTTAGGTTAATTTAATAGAAAAAATAAAATATGGAATAACATTGATTTTGGCCAATATCAATTACAATAGAACTACTCTATTTTACAAATAACAACTGAACATTTTACACATGTACAGTATTTTTTCAGTAAAAATTAATTTGGATATAACAATGTGTCAGTTTTTTTAAGAAAACAAAGATATTAATATCTTCTCTATAATAGTGTTAGAGACATTTGTAAGTATCCAAAAAAATTCTTTACAATCCATTACATAATTAAATCTCAA